ATTTTTTTTTTTTTTTTTTTTTTGTCACTGATTACATATTAAATTAATATTCAAGAAAGCGTTAGGCTATAATTAAAGTTTTATAGAGGATTATTCATTAGGCAGACGTCTAGACCTATTTTTCAATGCCTAGATCAATTTTTTTGGAAAAATTGTTCTGAGAAATTCGTTTAGTTTAGGTATAATCTACTGCCTAGACAGGTGTTGCCAATTTTAGAGCACTGGTAATAATATAATATGCGCATATAATTTAAATACAGAGTAAAATATTGAGACAATAGCATGTACATATATGTTACTCCAATTTTGTATTAACAAAACTCTGGAGTCTTCGGTTACAGATTTTTTCGATATAGAATATTTACAAGAAAGCTAATCTGTAATTACGGGAATCATATGAGTACTGGATATCATTATAGAGATACGATGTGTGTCTGGATTGGAATGAGATTCGGCGAGAAACTTACCGAAAAAGTGGAAGCGCTTTGTCGCTGAATCAGGTGAATATTCGTTATCGACGGGGAAGACGAAAAGATTGAGCAGGAACCCAACAAAAAAGAAAGACCAAACTCCAAAGAAAGTACAGGTGTGTGTCGTGTGACACGTTTCTTGGGCCTTCCAATTGTACGGGGCTTTTTAAGTAGCCCGGTCGGTTTATTAGGAAAACGTTTTTTTAGCTTAATTATGATGCGTTTGGAAAAAAAAAAGCTTAATTATCATGAATGATCTAGAGTGTTCAATCAGGTAAGATCGAAACAACTAAAACAAAACCAAACCAAACCAAAATTGAGAAAATAGTTGGGATTTTGTAATATTGCATGGATTTAGTAAATCTAAAGTGTTCAATCAGGTAAAACTGAACCAACTAAAACTCAAACCAACCGAACCTAAATTGAGAAAATGGTTTGAATTTAGTAATACTGCATGAATGTTGTTTTTTAGAAACTGCAATATATAGATATATTTTCGTATATACACCGATTAAACCGAATAAACTGATTAATTAAAATATAGTAATAGAGTTATATGTAGGTTATATAATATAATTGATAGTATATACATAATTTATATTATTGATATGATCTTCATATTTATAATGCTGAATTTAGTAATTTATTAGTTTGATTTAGTTAAAAGTTATTTTTTCATTCTATCAAATTAATTAAAACATAATTTTTAAATATGTGTGCTAATATTTAGTTATTTAATAATATTATCATACTACTATTTTTCTTAATTTTAGTTTATAAAAATTATTACTATTATTAACTTAATAAAAAATATTCCATTTTAGAAGTAGGATATTTTTATGTTGTGGTAAAACCGATATCTAATCATATAAAGTACATTTATAAAATGTTATAAAATATAAATATGTTATAGTTTTTGATATAAGATAAATAAAGAAAAAAAATGATGGTATATAAATCAAACCAAATCAAAGTATACATGGTTTTAATATGGTAGTTATATAAACCAAAATACTAAAAGTTAAAATAAAAAAACAAACTGAAATCGAACCGCAATTCATAATAAAGAACCTTAGATGAATCTGAAGTAATCTATATTATAATGATACAGTTTAAAGGCTCCTTAAGTGTCTACATAGACAGATTGTGGGTCCCACATTTTTATATTACAATAGATAATTTTTTTAAAATGGCTACAAACAAAGAGTATCAGTTTAGCCAAGTGGTCTAAGGCCACATGTTTGGTCTGCAAGGGCATGGGTTCAATTCCCACTGCTCTCATGCATAGATATTTTTTAAACCCACGTAGTCTTGGTAAGATGGTCACAAACAATGAAATACACTTTAGCCACGCAGCTATCATGTATTTTTTATTTTTTTTATTTAGGTTATTATCATATGGGTTTTCTGTTTATAAGGTTCTTATGTTTTTTCTTGGCTTATTGTTTTAAAGATCAAAATAGTTGTATAAACCCTAAACCTTAACAAGTTTAAACCCAAAATAGTTAAAATGAATCCAAAACGAACAATAAAAAAAAACAAGTCTCACGTGGTTGCCTACGCGGATGGCTTAAAGAACCTTAAAACTATCTATTATAATATAGCTCAACCCAAAAAAAAAAAAAAAAAAAATCCAAAAACGAACAGACCAAAAAAAAACAAAAGAAAAAGTGAATTCCACGTGGGTGCATACGTGGATGGCTTAATGAGGGTTGAATAATATATATTAGGAGCTCAAAAAGTTAAATCATTGCACATATTTCCTAATATATATTTTCAAAAAATTTGTATGTGAGATAAAATAAAATAAAACAACAAAAATTAATTATTTTCGTTATTTATTAAATAAATATATAATTTCTCTTACATTTTAATAACTACTATAATTTCCTTGAAAACATTCCTCACCACCGATTCCAGACTCCGGCGAATGGATTCCCACAGTCGATGACGCCGTAGATAAAAATGCCACATCATTTATGAACAAAACTCAAACTTACAAAAAACCATATATAAAAGCCTATCTAATGAAACTTAAACAACGAATATTAACTTATTTAAGGTTATTTTCAAATTGATAAATCGTTTAATACAAATATAAATACTATAAATATAGAATTATATCAAGTTTTGATCTACGATATAAAAACTATTTACAGCAAAAAAACACTCACCTACTTTTACACACCAAAAACTATATTATAGCCTAACTATTCCTATAAACCTTACTTCGCATATAAATAACATTTAACACATTCCTAATATTTTTCAAAAAAATTGTATGTGAAATAAGATAAAATAAACAACAAAATTTAAGTAAGTTATTTATTAAATGAATATGTAATTTCTCTTACATTTTAATAACTACTATAATTTCATTGAAAACATTTCTCACCACCGACTCCAGACTTCGACGAATGAATTCCCACAGTCGATGACTCCGTAGATAAAAATGTCACATCATTTATGAACAAAACCCAAACTTACAAAAAACTATATATAATTCCTATCTAATGAAACTTAAACAACGGATATTAACTTAATTAAGGTTATTTTCATATTGATAAATCGTTTAATACAAATATAAATACTATAAATATGGAATTATATCAAGTTTTGACATACGATATAAAAACATGAAATTTTCCATTTCATTATTAATTGGTGTCATTAGAAGAATCCACTACACCAACAATCGAAAAAAATACACGCAAACATAATGATCCCGGCTCCGCGCTTGCGCAGGGAATATGCAACTAGTTAGTTAATACTACAAACATTGGGAAAAAAATTAGTACAAAAACAATCTCACCATACTAATCTTCACTCTCTTGTCTAAATTTAACTACTCCACTCATTTTTTTACAAATAGTTACGTGTTTTTCTCTATTGTCTCTAGAAAGTTGAGCTACCATCACCACATGTTCTCTCTCTTTTACTAAACAGAAGATGAAACCAATAAAATTTCCAAGACAAGCTCCTATGGAACCGGTCAACTGAAACTTCGGTCAAATCCCCTATAAAATTTAAATATCTCTTTCCCTCCCTTTAATATTTTTTTCACCATTACCATAAAACAAACAAGAGAAAAAAAAAAGTAACTAATTTGATAATTAGTTACCGCAATCAAAAACAAATTTTCATTCACACAAAAATGTCAACGGCACTTACACTCCTATCTCTCGCCGTCGCCGTCTTGGCCATTACCACCGTCTTCGCCGCTGACCCTCCAACACCAGCCGGAGCACCTAAAGCCAACGGCAACAAAAGCTCACCCACTCCTTCTCCCGCCACAGTAGCTTCCCCAAAACAACCCGCCGCAGGATCCCCAAAACAAACCGCCTCCGCCCCAACCTCGCCGCCTACGGCTTCTACTTCCACCACCGCCAAAAAGAACTCTACATCTACCCCAAGCGCTTCCCCATCTTCAGGTGGTGCCGCCCCCACAAAGTCCCCTAAATCTTCTTCAGCCAAAACTCCGGCTCCAAGCCCCGACTCTAGCTCCTCTGAAGGTCCCACCAGCTCATCAGAAGGTCCCACCAGCTCATCTGAAGGTCCTAGTAGCTCATCAGAAGGTCCTACTAGCTCCTCTGAAGGTCCCAGCAGCTCATCAGAAGGTCCCACCAGCTCATCAGAAGGTCCCACTAGCTCTTCTGAAGGTCCCACCAGCTCGTCAGACTCACCCTCCTCGTCTCCGCCAGCTCCGACACCAGACATGTCTCCGTCGTCATCTGATGACGGAGGAAGTGCTAGCGAAGGTCCTGAAGCTTCAGCTCCGACAGGAAGAGCCTCAACGCTCAAGATCTCTATCTCTGGATCTGTTCTCGTAGCAGTTGCATGGTTCTTCTTCATATGATGAAATGTTGTTATACTCTCGTGTTTCACATTACACTTAAAAGACTCCTTTGATTATAATTTTCTTGGTTTCTTCTTTTAAAAAGTTAGGGTTTGATTGTAATAAATGTTTAGCATTGTGTTACTTACGATTAATTTGATCATGTGGTTATAGTGACCATTAAATTCGTATGGTTGGAAGGATCTATATATTTGTAACTTGCGTCATCACGACAGCAATTAATGCGGATGATTCATGATAATACAGTTTACATGAAAATTCAAATTAACTCTAGTAAGGAAGAAAATAGATACCATAAAATATACTTCAACACAACAAGGCAATATATTAACTACAAATTATAATTAGCTTCTCATCAGATACATGCATTTTTAAACGAGTAACTAGTTAGAATACCCTACCAATATGCTATAAATAGTTTACAAAACCGTATCTTCTTATATATAGAGAAAAGAGAATAGCTCATGTACACAAATATGGGTAAAAAACAAAACAAACACTTTAACCCTAAATAGCAAACTAACCTAACACGTCCATCTCCCTTAAACTCCAAATCTCCATTCCCATTTCTCTTAAATTCTCCTTGAAAGTTTAATCAATCATCTGCTCTGTAAACCTCACAGATAATCAATTTAATAACATCAGAAAATTTTACCCTAACAAAAAGGGTAAAATTTAATAAAAAGAGACCAGGGGATCAAATTCAACACACATATATGTCTAGCCGTTTTTTCTTCGTCCTCCTTGTAATCCTAACCATTGCTAATGCAACATTAGCAGCTGATGATACCGAGAAACCTCAACCTGTCGACAACAAAACACCAGCAGACAATGCTACAAAGAGCTTGATAGATAGCCTTGGTCCGTCTCAAGATAACCCTGATTACGAAATCCCTTTAGAACTTGCACCGGGCGGTGTCGAGGTGGTGAGTGATTACCGTAATGGCCCCACCCAAGATGAGACTCTTGGACAACCAGAAGATATGAGTGTCAACAGCTCTCCCTCTGTATCTTCCTCAACCGTTCTGACCGTTGCCGTTGCTGCGGTGGGAGGAGCCAGCTTATTTTTCTTTTGAAGTAATGTCTTTTTGACTACTCATGTAATACTTTTAAGATGTGTATGGAATCTCTGGTGAAACTGTACTTTGCGTTGTCTACATAATGACATTTGTTACCTTGTTTGCAAGAACACAAAAAAATTAAAATGTTAATTATGCGTGGAATGTAAGTTACGCAAGATTATGTATATCAATTATCAAGATCATAAAGAGGAAAAAGGCCGACATCATTTTGTTGATGTAAAATGCTTTTACATCATTTATAAGTAATACAAATATATAAAATAAACTTTTTTGTAGTGAGGTATCAAACTCAGTCCTATAGTTATTGAGTTGCTACTACTACTAGTCTAGCTAGTTATGCCCCCGTGCATTATAGCGACGATAAAATGTAATGATCAAATCCCCGAAAATGTGTCCTGTCCTAGAAAATTGGACGTAAACAGCTAGCGTTACCATTTCACGAGTGGCCGACAACTTTATAGCGTTAGCAAGTGGATTTTTTTATGTCAACTAAAAAGATCAATGACATTTCTCTCTGCGCGATTGGATGAACAAAATCTTTCCTAGCAAAACTTTACCGAGCAATCTATGATGAATTGATCATTGGACTTTCTTCCTCAAATAACTAAAAACAATTTATCTCTTACCATGGCATAGTTGTTACCAATAGTTACAGCAATAACCAATAAAAATTAGCCAGTTTTTGTAGTAAAATAAAAGTAAAATAGTTTATTTTGAGTCGATGGGTACTGGTATATCCGACATAGGCATCTAAAGAAAAGGTTGGGATGATCAAAGATAGATAAAAATAAACCAAATTAACATATTATGGTCTGGGTCTGAAGAAATTATAGGCTTAGATCAACTTATTGGTTAACAAAAACAAACAAAACTATATCAATATAAATTTTGAAATTAACTCTCGCAGATGTCCAAAGACACAGCAGACGCATTACACTTGTAACATTACAATGAAAAACTTAAAACAAAAAGAAGTCTCTTACCATTCATTAGAAGTTTAGAACATAGGAACCACTGCATAAAGAGTGATCTTATAATATATCATTTTCTCTTAAATGATTTCATTATTATTGTTATTCTGAATAATCAACAGCGACGACCTCGCCGACAACTTAGTGTTCCTGCCGTGGTCGTGATAGAGCCCACAAGCGATGATGGCCTCGCACTTAGACTAGAAGCTCTTGCATAAGTAGATGAAGCTCCAGCACCAGATTGCCGGAAATATGCTCCGTTCAACAACATATCCCCTTCCGATCTCCAATTCCAGTTTCTCCATTTGCTTTCGGGTGCATCTTCGTGTTTTGTAACCTATTATTTTAACATAAAATAAACACATGTGAATATGTTGTTTTATATACGTCACGGTTTAACATGCACACTATACAAAACTACAAACCCTTAAACTAAATGCTATGGCAAATGCACATGTTAAATTCCCTATACTGATAATATTTAATCTTATGAAAATTCACAACAACGTACGTACCTCTTTATTAAATCGAGTGTTAGGAGCGAGAAATCTATTTCCTTGGCTGTAAATCGTGGGAGATGCACTTCCACCGATGGCATACATTTCCCAGTGAGTATAATCATTGTTCACCACATGGAAATATCCATGCCTGCACCTGTTTATTATATAAAACCCTCAATATTAGTAACATACTCAGCTAAAACTAACATTTACATTTTCATGGTTTTTTTAAAAAAACTCCTATTATAATTACAGTTTCCTTGTAATGATTTTAGTCAACTTTTCATCCATGCATCTCCCTAGATCCAATGCGTGAATCTTCAAAACGTTTAAGTATTAACTTTTCCTAATTAGTATAGTTACATACACTCAAATGTGCATTGACAGTCACAAACTAGTTAAAAGTATATCCTATAACCTTCTGGAATTAGATGAAAATCAATAAAGTATATCCTATAACCTTTTGGATGTCTTTTTTTATCTTTTTTGGGGACTTCCACAGACCCTTGCTTATTAGCTTCCTTAGATACATAGGTTTTGATCATTCAAAGCCATTTGTATCTCATGTATCATTATTTGCTTAATGAAATTCACATACTTATCAAAAAAGATATGTATATATGTACTATAATGAATGGTCGATTGGTTTTTTTTGGATATTCATTAATATTTTTTGTTCATATCTCATTTAATGAAAGAAATCTTCCACATAGTGTTGTGACCGATGGTGGTGGGTTAAAAAGTCTCATTCTCCTTTTGTTGACTTTCTGCATACTCTATAAAGTCAAGCTTTCACATGCAAACTCTTTATCAGTGTATGTGCCATGAGGGATAAAAATGTAATTTGCTTACCGAGGCATCCTTTGAACGAGCCCTTCTCCGAAATGGTTAAACGCAATGGTGACTTGCATGTTCTTGTCCTGTGTGTAGCTATCGCTGTGCCCTAAAAGCATGACCTTGTCATGGTGCGTCATGTGGTTGTTCGATATGGTTATAGCCGTCGAACCATGTATGGCGTCTATGAGACCATCATCGCAGTTAGAGAACGAGCAATGGTCGATCCACACATGCTTTCCTCCAAATATCGCCACTGCGTCTCCATCTGATGGGACCCATAATCCGGTGTGATGTGGGCCATCTCTAATCATGCCACCTATAAAACAATACATTTATATCAACCATTTACTAAGAAACTAGCTAAATTAATTTGTCACACCTGATCCTGGTTTGCAATCATGGATATTAATGCCATGAATGATGATGTTAGTTGCATGGTGGATCTTGATGCATGGTCCATCGGTTATGTGAACACTTGAGCCTCTACCATCAATGGTCTTAAAAGATGTTATAATCAGTTCTTTTTTGAGCCTAATGACCATATCTCTCTTGAAAATGATCCATAATGGTTCTTCTTGCGTGACCGCATGTCTAAGGGTTCCTGGTCTAGGGTTCACTGGATCGTCGTTGGCCGGATCCGTAACCACGTAAATGCGGCCACCGCGGCCTCCGATAGCGTGTTTGCCAAAACCTATGGCACAATCGGCTAGGCGTTGGCGATTTTTCTCCCAATTTGGATCGCAACGCCAACAGTCATCGATAGGATTGCCGGTTCTACAAGATAGGTAGGCCAGACTTCTCCTTGACGCATTGAATACACTTCTACGAACAAAAATAGAAAAATATACAAACATTCGTATTAATTGTAGAGTCGAGCCATTTAAATGTGAACATATTATGGTAGTTGTTGGAAAAATGTCGGCCACAATTTGTATATAGTTACAAACTTACATAACTGTAGTAGGCAATATATATAGCTAGAGAAACCCATTATAGAAAAAAACTAGCTAGCAAGATAGTACTGTTAAAGATGGAAAGCTTTTTTTCTCCTAAAGGATTTTCTTGAATTTAAAAGAATAAAAAATGCAAATGTAGAGTGAGTAGTTTGCAGAAAGTTCACAGAAATTCTTTGATGAGAAATTTCATTGTGAACCAAAAATAAGTTTAATTAACAATTATGGACTTCTTGATTTCTGAGTTTACAAAATCTTTGTTTATTGGGATTTGTACAAATAATGTGATGTGAGGGAGCCACATAGTAAACCTTTTCTTTTGAATTACACCATATAGTAAACAATACTTACAATTTACAAAAAAAAAAAATACTTACAATTTACGAGTGAACGAAGCAAATGAAAGACGTTTATGGAATTAACTGCTACACTATATAAACAATTGTAGCACAACAACATCTTATATTTTTTTACCAAAATAAAAAATCTTATATTTACAAAGCGACATTGTTATAGCAAACGTACGTACCTATTAACTTCGTCAACTACTAGATTCGGATCTTGTGTATGCGGCAACGAAGTCGAAGAGAATGCAATCGTGTTGCCGATTGATAGGAGAAATATAAAAGTGTGAACAAAAGGATTATTAGAATACGAAATCATTATTGTAAACAAGAACGAGAGAGAAACAAATATTATAAAAGAGAGAAGTTTGTGTGGAAGCTTGCTATTGTTGGAGACTATATAAAGAGGAAGTGAGTTCCGGGAGTGGAGGCGTGATTTATTTTAATTTTTTTGAGATATGGTATAGTTTTTATTACAACTAAACTATAGGACCTGCTTTATCGTGATTTCAGGTGAGGATAACCAAATGGTTAATGTTGTGAAACCGTTAGTTGGGCTTAGTAGTCAAAACTAATTTGCAAAAAGTCAACTTGCTTACCCTCCCTAACGATGCGTTTTTCAATTTTTTTCCCCTTTGGTTTCGCCTCGCTTTGCATTCAAAGAAACAGAATGTGATTTGAAATTAAATGAATGTCTTTGTAAAGGTTAAACCTAAATCCGGTAATTAGCACATGGTAGTCAAAAGTAACTACTTAAAGTCAACATCTTTGACAGTAACTACGGCACCGTTTCTTGCTTTCTTTCCCCACTTGGCCACTTGTACTTTCAAGGAACATAATATGTTTATGACATCATATTCATAGGTGTTGTGATGATGATTCTTAACCAAATAAAAAGGATTGTGGATTGTAATAGACCGGGGCGGCATTTGATTTGATCATTCTGGTTTTGGTTCAATTAACTTAAACCTTATCAATTTGTTTTAAACCTTGAATTCAAGATGGGCTCTAATTCAAAGCCTTTTAATAAAGGGATGCATATTAGGAATCTTCTTCTCCTAGAGCCTCTGTTCCAATACTTATGTAAGCCTTTTAATAAAGGGATGCATATTAGGAATCTTCTTCTCCTAGAGCCTCTGTTCCAATACTTATGTAAGCCCACTAAGAAATACAGATTTACTTGTGATCGAGTACTACTATGACACTTCAAATCTTCAGTATTCAAATATAACACGAGGTTTGAATGTATCACGGTTTTAAATTACCTTGAAAAGGTTTTTAATAATTAAATACTCAATCATTTTCTAGTGGAAGTAACAATGTTTTTGTTTGACAGTTTAATTTTCTAATAAAGAGGTTTAAATCCGTGAACTGTGCATGGTGTATGTTGACAAAAGAAGAGATCTCAGAGCAGAATTTTACTGGATAACCCAAGAAACAGGCATCAGTAAACCTTCTTTTAGGTATCAGTAAACTGGAAATACAAGTTTCTGCCATTCACAACACTAATAAAATGCAATTATGTATTAATATTCCCTCGTTCTAGATCACTACAAAATCACAAAAAGAAGAATCGTTACAGCAAAACGAATCATATTCTGGTCCCAAAGAAAGAATTTACAAGTGTAGAATCATTAAACTGCCGTTCACTTTAACACTGACTAAAATGCCACCAATTCTGTTTAAACTAAATATTTCTTAATCTGTCCATAATCCAAAAATGTCAATTATAAAACAAAACAGAGGGAGTAGTCTCATAATACTTTTGAAACATAATCATGATTTAATTTACAAATAAAACATTTATAAAACAGGGTAATAAATTTTATATTAAATATCACCGACTACATTTTACTATATATTCTTTTTTTTGTCAACTCTTTTTACTATATATTCTAATACTGTTTGTGTTACAAAAAAAAAAAAAATTCTAATACTGTTTACAATGTATTATATTTAAAAGAAAATTGTTACGTGCCATTTATTTGCAAAATACTCAGAAAGGGATCAATAGTGTGCGTTTTTTCTTCAAAATATCATTGCTTGTTGCTATAATACTCCAAGATTAATGGTATTTAATTCAATTACAGGCAACAAAACTTTTCATTTAATCACAAAACTAGTTTTTGACCCGCGCGTCCGCGCGGATGTATGTTCTTTATAAATATATATTTGTATTAGTTGTAAAATATTAGAATATCTTGTTTAGATTGTTTAGATTGTGTGTGTTTTATTAAATTATACTATAAATTTTGTTATTGAAATTATAATTTAAAATCAAATTTTATGTATTTTTAAATCAAATTTTATGTATATATATTTTTAAATAAGTTATTTATATAGCAGCAATTAATGAAGATTCACAATAAATAAGAGATCTAGCAATTTTATTCATAATGATTATGTTCTATATAATTGAGATAAATTTTAAGTTCGGTTATGGTTTTGATATCGTATTTTTTTTAGTTGGTAAACTAAACAATTAAGTGTAAAATATTAGATTATCTTGTTTAGATTGTGTGTGTTTTATTAAATTATACTATAAATTTTGTGATTGAAATTATAATTTAAAACCAGATGGAATAGATTTTCTTTTTTAAAAATAAATGATTTAGATAACAATAATTAAAAAAAGATTCACAAAAAATAAGAGCTCTAGCAATTTTTATTCAATATATTCGCGACAAATTTTAAGTTTAGTTATGGTTTTGATATCGTTTTTTTTGGTAAACTAAACAATTCAGTGTAAAATATTATATTATCTTGTTTAGATTGGGTGTGTTTCATTAAATTATACTATAAATTTATTGAAATGATAATTTAAAATTATATTTTACAGATATTTTTTAAAAACAAATTATTTAGATAGCATAAATTAAAAATATTCGCAAAAAAATAGAGCTCTATTAATTTTATTAACTAAGACTATTTTTAGAATTTAATTGAGCAATTAATTTTGATTTGAAGTTAATGGATCTTAAACCTATATTAAAGCCCATATAAAATCAAAACTACAGTATTTTAGTTAGTGACATTCTATTATAATTTTTGAGGAAAAGTAAGGGTTATTTTCATTTTATACTTCCCTTTTAATAGTTTAGATTGTTACTTGTTGGCTGTTGCAAATATGGCCAGAAATTATGTCAGAAATTAAAAAACCTCAAAAATCCTTTCGGACAACAACAAAAAAGTAGCCGCCCTCACAACAAATGTAAATGTATATGTTGATGTAATAAATAAATAAGGCGATTTGGAAGAAGAAAAACAACCGCAAAATTTGGCATTTTATGTCGTTCTCCTTTGATGTTAGAGCACTCCCCATCAAGGGATGATGGAGGGAGTTCACACATAAACCAAAAAAAAAAAATAATACTAAAATCAGATTTATATGAACTCCTCTCTCAAAAGTTCACCGCGGTGAACCCCAATGACCCTGAATTCACCACATGTCATCATATGATTGATCCATTATTAATTTTTTTTTAAAAGTAAACAAAAATTTAAAAAAAAATATTTTTTTATTTGTATGAACCCGGAAGGGTTCATCAATATGGATACTCTTACTTCGTTTGTCATCTATATGCCTCCCTATGGGTAAGTTTAGATATTTGCTAATGCACTGTGCACGAAAAAAGAGAGGATATTTGCTAATGCGTTAAGCTCAAGCATCCACAGAATTAAACTATTAGAGCAGATAAGTCGAAAGCATCCCTCCTTTACTTCTTCTTCTTCGTTGGACAAAGAGGTCAGTTTCTTTGGTTCTCGTGTTTAATCTTAGAAATTTTTTAATCTTATTTCAAGAAGAGAAACGATTTCTTAATTGCAAAACTTTTTTAATCTTAGATACTTCATTTCGTTTGTTTATTAGTAATACTTATAACTTGTTTTAAGCTCTGTTTACTCTGTTTTTACTCTGTTTTTTTTGTTCTGTCCAGCTCTTTGTTAACTTGTTTTAAGCTCAATCAACTCATTGTCTCTGCTTCCAGGACTCCAAAATCAATACCAAAAATAGCGTTGAAGCTCTTAGGAAGGTGTTGACTGATTCTTGAGAGATTAATCGAAAGATTTAAAATTCAAATGGAGCCTCCAAAGGGTTTTCTTGCTTCTTTGTTGCAGTTTTTAGTGTTCCTTCCTTATTTCACTGCATTGCTGTTTCTGGGTGTCATCAAAGGTATCAACTTTATAGTTTACTTTTAACATTCCTTCCATGTTTCACACTTTCACTAAAAGTCTGAACTTTCCATTGATTTCTACTCCTTTAAGCCTAGTTTTCAGTTTGTTGAGACAAATTTAATGAAGGGTTCTTCAAGGCAACCATTTTTGTTCTGTTTAGTCTCATATGTTCTTATTCAATATAATGGAACAGTTCTTTCTTTGTTGCTTAGGTATCGTTCTGTGCCCACTCGTATGCCTCGTTGTGACCATAGGCAACTCGGCGATCATACTAAGTCTTCTCCCCATCCACATTGTTTGGACGTTCTATTCAATAGTGAGGTAACTAACTCCTTATCTGAAAACTTCCACTGTCCTTTTCTGTCTCTCTCGGTGTTAAAGACTCTCTTTGTTTGATTCGTCTCAGTACCAAACAACTAGGACCAATCTTGAAGCTCTTTATATGCTTATGTCTTCCTACCGCCATCATCCTCTGGCCAATTCTTGGTATCTTAGCAAGTGTTCTTGGAGGAGCTTTATATGGTTTTCTCTCCCCAATCTTCGCCACATTTGATGCTGTTGGTGAGGGCAAGCCTTCCCCACTTCTCCATTGCTTTTATGATGGAACTTGGAGCACCTTCAAACGCAGCTTCACTGTAGTCCGTGACTTTAGAGATGTCTGCTTCCACTCCTACTTCTCACTCATGGATGAGGTTAGAAAATGTTGCCCCGATCAGAAATATCATGAAATAAGGTATATGTTTTTGCTCACTCTTGAGTTCTAACATATCTTTCAATAGTGTTTACCAATGTTCATGAAATTGCTAGGTGGTAATTAGGCGTCTTATAGAGAATTGTTGTTATGAAGGGCACCTAGACCAATTTTTCGAACGCCTAATTTTTTAAAGAAGAAAATCAGTTTGAGAAATTCGTTTAGTTTAGACCCAATTTACCAACTAGGTCGCCTAAACCGATTTTTAGAACACTAATCTTACATTCTGTCCGCATTTTATTTACAGTTTGAACGCTTAAACCAATTTTTGGTAAAAAAAAAATCAGTTTGAGAAAATGTTTGGTCAGATCTGATTTACCGACTACGCGTCGCCTAAACCGATTTTTTAGAACACCAAACTTACATTCTGTCCACATTTTATTTCCAGTTTGAACGGCTAAACCAATTGTTTGAACTTTAACAAAATCAGTTTGAGAAATTCGTTTAGTTCAGACCCAATTTACCAACTAGGCCGCCTAAACCGATTTTTAGAACACAAAGCCTACATTTTATTTCCAGTTTGAACTCCTAAACCAATTTTTTTTTTTTTTAAATCAGTTTGAGAAAATGTTTGGTCCAAATCTGATTTACCGAGTACCCGCTGCCTAAACCGATTTTTAGAATACTCAGCTTACATACTGTCTGCATTTTATCTCCAGGCTCCTTCAACTTCCAAGTGCTTTGCTAGCTTCAGCTCTCGGGATTTTTGTAGCTTTCCCAATGATCTCACTCATAGCCATATGCAAAAGCCCTTACATGCTCTTCAAAGGGTGGCACCGTCTGTTCCACGACCTCATTGGACGAGAAGGTCCATTCTTGGAGACAATGTGTGTCCCTATCGCAGGCCTAGCGATCATACTTTGGCCTTTAGCTGTAGCAGGAGCAGTTCTTGGTTCAGTGGTCTCTAGTATCTTCCTCGGTGCTTATGCAGGAGTAGTCTCATATCAAGAATCATCTTTTTACTATGGACTATGCTTTGGAGTTGCCTCTTTGTCTATTTACGACGAGTATAGCACTGATATACTTGACATGAATGAAGGTTCTTGCTTCCCAAGGCCTAAATATCGAAAAAACGAAGCTGAATCAAGAGGTTTTTCTGGTCCTATACCAAGACTAGGCTCTTCCAAAAACATGGCTTCAACAAGATCAGCAGGATCAGTGAGAGTCCCTATGATTGATGTTAAGCCTCTTGACGTAAGCACACACTTATTACATCAAAACTCAAATAGCCAAATGATATTAGAACATGATTAACCCGAATTCTTAATTTGGCATTCTTAGTTCATGATTTGACACTTTTTTTTGTTTTTTTATGTATCAGAGAGTTTGATACTTCATTTCGTTTGTTTATTAGTAATACTTATAACTTGTTTTAAGCTCTGTTTACTCTGTTTTTACTCTGTTTTGTGTTTTGTCCAGCTCTTTATTAACTTGTTTAAAGCTCAATCAACTCATTGTCTCTGCTTCCAGGACTCCAAAATCAATACCAAAAATAGCGTTGAAGCACTTAGGAAGGTGTTGACTGATTCTTGAGAGATTAGTCGAAAGATTTAAAATTCAAATGGAGCCTCCAAAGGGTTTTCTTGCTTCTTTGTTGCAGTTCTTAGTGTTCCTTCCTTATTTCACTGCATTGCTGTTTCTGGGTGTCATCAAAGGTATCAACTTTATAGTTTACTTTTAACATTCCTTCCATGTTTCACACTTTCACTAAAAGTCTGAACTTTCCATTGATTTCTACTCCTTTAAGCCTAGTTTTCAGTTTGTTGAGACAAATTTAATGAAGGGTTCTTCAAGGCAACCATTTTTGTTCTGTTTAGTCTCATATGTTCTTATTCAATATAATGGAACAGTTCTTTCTTTGTTGCTTAGGTATCGTTCTGTGCCCACTCGTATGCCTCGTTGTGACCATAGGCAACTCGGCGATCATACTAAGTCTTCTCCCCATCCACATTGTTTGGACGTTCTATTCAATAGTGAGGTAACTAACTCCTTATCTGAAAACTTCCACTGTCCTTTTCTGTCTCTCTTGGCGTTAAAGACTCTCTTTGTTTGATTCTTCTCAGTGCCAAACAAATAGGACCAATCTTGAAGCTCTTTATATGCTTATGTCTTCCTACCGCCATCATCCTCTGGCCAATTCTTGGTATCTTAGCAAGTGTTCTTGGAGGAGCTTTATATGGTTTTCTCTCCCCAATCTTCGCCACATTTGATGCTGTTGGTGAGGGCAAGCCTTCCCCACTTCTCCATTGCTTTTATGATGGAACTTGGAGCACCTTCAAACGCAGCTTCACTGTAGTCCGTGACTTTAGAGATGTCTGCTTCCACTCCTACTTCTCACTCATGGATGAGGTTAGAAAATGTTGCCCCGATCAGAAATATCATGAAATAAGGTATATGTTTTTGCTCACTCTTGAGTTCTAACATATCTTTCAATAGTGTTTACCAATGTTCATGAAATTGCTAGGTGGTAATTAGGCGTCTTATAGAGAATTGTTGTTATGAAGGGCACCTAGACCAATTTTTCGAACGCCTAATTTTTTAAAGAAGAAAATCAGTTTGAGAAATTCGTTTAGTTTAGACCCAATTTACCAACTAGGTCGCCTAAATCGATTTTTAGAATACTAAACTTACATTCTGTCCGCATTTTATTTACAGTTTGAACGCCTACACTAATTTTTGTTAAAAAAAAAAATCAGTTTGAGAAAATGTTTGGTCATACCTGATTTACCGACTACGCTTCGCCTAAACCGATTTTTAGAACACTAAGCTTACATTCCGTCCATATTTTATTTCCAGTTTGAACGGCTAAACCAATTTTTTGAACTTTAACAAAATCAGTTTGAGAAGTTCGTTTAGTTCAGACCCAATTTACCGATTAGGCCGTCTAACCCGATTTTTAAAACACTAAACCTACATTCTGTTTGCATTTTATTTCCAGTTTGAATGGCTAAACCAATTTTTTATAAAAAAATCAGTTTGAGAAAATGTTTGGTCCAAATCTGATTTACCGACTACGCGCCGTCTAAACCGATTTTTAGAACACTCAGCTTACATACTATCTGCATCTTATCTCCAGGCTACTTCAACTTCCAGGTGCTTTGCTAGCTTCATCTCTCGGGATTCTTGTAGCTTTCCCTATGATCTCACTCATAGCCATATGCAAAAGCCCTTACATGCTCTTCAAAGGTTGGCACCGTCTGTTCCACGACCTCATTGGACGAGAAGGTCCCTTCCTGGAGACAATGTGTGTCCCTATTGCAGGCCTAGCCATCTTACTTTGGCCTTTGGCTGTAGCAGGAGCAGTTCTTGGTTCAGTGGTCTCTAGTATCTTCCTCGGTGCTTATGCAGGAGTAGTCTCATATCAAGAATCATCTTTTTACTATGGACTATGCTTTGGAGTTGCGTCTGTGTCTATTTACGACGAGTATAGCACTGATATACTTGACATGAATGAAGGTTCTTGCTTCCCAAGGCCTAAATATCGTAAAAACGAAGCTGAATCAAGAGCTTTTTCAGGTCCTATATCAAGACTAGGCTCTTCCAAAAACATGGCTTCAACAAGATCAGCAGGATCAGTGAGAGTCCCTATGATTGATGTTAAGCCTCTTGACGTAAGCACACACCTATTATATCAAAACTCAAATAGCCAAATGATATTAGAACATGATTAACCCGAATTCTTAATTTGGCATTCTTAGTTCATGATTTGACACTTTTTTTTGTTTTTTTACACTTTTCGGCTAAGAACGGTTATTAGTTTTTCTTAAATTAAAGCTAAGAAACGGTTCTTAGCCGAATCTAAGAACCCCACCCTCAGAGCTCGGGTTAATCATTATCTTACATGCTGTGGTTTCGGATATGGGGGATTACGGGTTTTGTCCCCAAACCTCCTGATATATTAAATAAAAAGACTGTTTAACATTGATGTGTGTTGAAACCTTGCAGCTATTGGATGGTCTATTTGTGGAATGTAGGAAGTTTGGAGATGTTTTGGCGAGTAAAGGATTGATAAACTCAAAAGATATTGAAGAGGCGAGGTCTAATAAAGGCAGCCAAGTGATTAGTGTTGGCTTACCAGCTTATGCATTTTTGTATGAGATTCTACGCTCTGTTAAAGCCAATACTACTGGCTTGTTACTCAGTAAAGTCTCAACCTTTGTTTTCTTACTTTCACTTTTGATTATAAAGTTTTTTTTTTATGTGACTGCATTTATGTTTAGGTGACGGTGTAACTGAACTAACTACCAAGAACAGACCCAAAGACGCGTTCTTTGATTGGTTTCTGAATCCGTTCTTGATACTAAAGGAGCAAATTAAAGCTACGAACTTAACTGATGATGAAGAAGAGTATCTAGGAAGGTTGGTGTTGTTGTATGGAGACTCAGAGAGGTTAAAAAACTCGTATGCTGATTCCTCTTCTCCTTTTCTCACCGAGCGTAAAAGAGCTGAGCTTGACGCCTTTGCTCGCAGGTACAAAGTCCAAAAGTTTCTATATTTATTATATAAGAGAGGCTAAAGTTTCTATTTTTGAACTTTGTGTGTGTGTGTTTGTTAGGATTCAAGGGCTAACGAAAACGGTGTCAAGGTATCCAACATTCCGTAGACATTTTGTGGAATTAGTGAAGAAACTATCTGAAGATTTGGACCAGGATCGTGACGGTTCAGGAACTAAAACAGAAGCGTCTGGTCCGGTTAAGATATTTACTAGGATATTCAGTCAGAGTCAGAGATCGTTCAAAAGAAAAGGGAGTATCAATGGATCTGACAAAGGATCACGTAAGGTAGATATGGTTTAATCAATGGGACTTGTGTGTGCATCGATATGTGGAAACTTCAAAGCCTTTTTTGCGTCTCTTTGCTCGATACCAAGTGGCCTTCCTTGTAAAAAAAAAGAGTGTTGCAAAACTCAGTTGATTCTAGGATGACTAAAAGAAGTAATGTCTCTGTATTATCAATGTACAACTGAAGAATTAAGGAGTAATTGTAATTATACCATAAGTTTGGTATTACTTTTCAAATTTACCATTAATAAATGATTAGAAAATCACCCCGTGATGGATAGAAGATGTTTAAATTTTTTTATTTTAAAGTTATTTTTATATAATTTTTTTTGACAACAGTTATTTTTATATAATTTATATTTGTTGATCAATCAATTTAAATCATTTAATAAACTAATTATTTTGTATATAGATAAAAATTAAAAAATAATCTTATACAATTAAAGAGTGAAAATATAATTTGTGTTTGAAAATGTGTAAATTTAAATATTATGCGTTTAGCATAACAATATTAAATAACATAATCGTCTTCAGTTATATTTATTTTGACCGTTTGACTTTTTCAATTGCTTCTTCCATTTCATTTAGATTGTCACCTTCATTTTTTAAAATCTTTCAATGTATTATAATTCTTATTTTCCTTGTTTTATTTTCTTTAGAAACATTTTTTTATCCCGTTGGCATTCTCATCATTTTTATTTATTATAAAAGGCTGTTAAAATTAAATGTAAGTTTGTTAATTTCCCTTATAATTTTTTTTTGATTTGTATTTACAAAAAAAAATATATTCCAAATATATTGTACCTCTTCATTAATAATTGCGTTTCTATGATATTTGTAATCTTTAATCCAGCTGAACTTGATTGATAATTGAAAGATGTAACCTTAACATCAAATTTCAAAACTTTTTTGATAAGATTTTCTAAAAAGTAGGAGATTTGAAATTATATTGTATAACCAACTGCATAAATGAATAAGATTTATATAAATTAATTTAAAATAAATAAATTAAGAATTAAGAAAAAAGTTGTAAATATAATTATATACGTATCTCTGTCAATTGGTCCAACGAAATATTTTTTTTTTAAATCAAAACCATTAATTGGTCAAACTTCAAATGAAACTCCTTTGATTCAATATCAGGCCTATCATTAGATGCACTATCACCAGATATTTTTAAGTATTCATCTATTTCACTCCATTTAGGATTATCAGTCATAGTATTAAACAAATCAGGATTTTCATAATAACGACGAAGGACCATTGCATCTTGATATTTTCAATCATATATTTTGGACTACCGATAATTGATGAAGGCAATACAGCTCTTTTCCCGAGGCGTTTGGAGTCATGATCGCTCTTGATAAAGTGTATTTTACATTATTATAAACATCAGCCATTATTGTTTTCTGATCAAGTTTGATAAATGTAAGCCGACTTGCTTCAATAGAAGTAAATGCATCTATTACATATTGATGAAAATAGTTACTAGTTCTCGTAAAATTCAAAACATTAAAATTACTATCTAATAATTCATTGATACTTTTCTGTGTCTAATAATATACTTCATATTTTCGTTTGCTTGCCCCTATTAAAAAGTAATAATTAAATAATATCTTATGTCGGCTGCGTATGGTAGAAAAAAACAAAATTAAATAAACTTGTGGACAATTTCGACTGATAAGTTTGTTTCGCGTTTTTTATATCCATAACCATATCAACACATTCCGATGAGTGATGAAATATGATTATTATCACATATAAAATAATGTTATGTTTGCACCCTTTCAATAACATTATGTTTGCACCGTTTCGGTAGTATTATGCTCTCACCTCTTCGGAGACGTTACATTCGCACCTTTTTGGTGACGTTACATTTGCACATTTTCGGTGACATTACATTCAAACCCTTTCGATGATGTTACATTCGCACCTTTTCGGTGATGATACACTCGCACCTTTTCTGTCCTGAATTATTCGCTCCCTTTCGGTCTCGAACCGTTCACACCCTTTCGGTCTTGAACCGTTTGCACCATTTTGGTTCTGACACGTTCGCACCTTTTCGGTTCTGACACGTTTGCACCCTTTTTGTCCCGACACGTTCGCATCCTTTTGGTCCTGACACGTTCGCACCCTTTTTGTCCCGACACGTTCGCATCCTTTTGGTCCTGACACGTTCGCACCATTTCGGTCCCGACACGTTCACACCCTTTCGGTCCCGACACGTTTGCACTCTTTAGGTCTCGACATGTTTGCACCCTTTCGATCTTGACACGTTTGCACCCTTTTGGTTCCGACACGTTCGCACCCTTTCGGTCCCAACACCTTCGCACTCTTTCGGTCCTGACATGTGCGCATCCTTTTGGTCCCGACATGTTCGCACCCTTTCGGTCCCGATATGTTCGCACCCTTTCGGTCCCCACACGTTCGCACCCTTTCGGTCCCGAACCGTTCACACCCTTTCAGTCCCAAACCGTTCGCACCCTTTCGGTCCCAACATGTTCGCACCCTTTTGGTCCCAACACATTCACACCCTTTTGGTTCCGACACGTTTGCACCCTTTCGGTCCCGACATGTTCGAACTTTTCAATCCTGACATGTTTGCAACTCTTGGGTCACAACACATTCATACCTCTTGGATCACTACAAATTTCTACCTCTTGGATCACGACACGTTCGTACCTCTTGGATCACAATGCATTCGCATCCCTTGGATCACAATGCATTTGCATCCCTTGGATCAAAATATGATAGCAGCAACACATCCTTTGGATGACATCCCTTGATAGCATCATTTGATGGCATCTCTTGCTACCAAATGATTGACTTTTACTACTTGTTCCAAACAAATAACGTGTTATTTAAAAGGTATATTGATAGATGATCAAAAGATATATTTTCTGTGACAAATAATATTTTTAAAGAGGAGCTGCGAGGAAAAAAATGTTTAACAAAAAAAGAAATTTTTTAGGACCATTATATGAAAAACATAAAAATTAGAACCACCAAACTCTTCAATTTTTTTTTAAAAACTACAAAAATTATGAAAAAGTATGCCTCTTTCTATTAAAGAGATGTGTTGTTTCAAAAAAAAAATAACTGCTCACGGCAAAAATATTTTATGTGTAGAAAACATTTTTTAGGATCATTATATGAAAAACAAAATAGTTAAAACAATCAGATTGTAACTCTTTAAATATTAAAAAGTAAGACTTTTTTATTTAAAAAGATGTATTTTTTCTAAAAAATAACTGCTAACGGCAAAAGTATTTTATGTCATTCACATTTTTGGGACCATTAGATAAAAAAAAAACACAATAATTAGAACCATCAAATTGTATGTATTCAATTAAAAGATGTGTTGTTTCAAAAGAGATAATTGTTCAAGAGAAAAAAATAATTGTTTAATGATGAAAAAATATCATTATGACTCTTAAAAAAATATGTACCTTGAAATACATGCATTTTGAAAGAAGAGTTACCAAAAATTTGATGAGATCAACACCTTATTGCAAATAATATTGTGTCCATTAGATCTTAAAATAAAGTGAATTATGATCATTGGATTCAAATTTTTTTCTATAAAAAAATGATGATGTCATAAGAGGTTTGCTATTATATATAGATTATTTTCATAAATATCTTAAATTTATGATAAAATAAAACTAAATTAAATTTTAAATATTTATAGAATATTTATATAATCAATCTCAATTTCTTAATACTAAACCCTAAACAATAATCACTAAAGGCTAAACCTAAATATTAGTATATTTTTTGATTGGTGGCTTTTTTGAAAAGTGGTATTTAACTTGTGGTATTTTTAACAATTTCTCAAGAATTAATGGCTTGTAACTAACACAATGCTTGTTTTGTTTGTCATCGATTGAAAATTTTGCATTTGTTATTGTGTAGTGTATTTTGAGAATTTGCAAACAAAAAATAGCAGTTTTCTGAAAAAAAGAAATATTTAGTATTCCTTATTCTTTCTAAAAAAAAAGTGAAAAGTGAAAGTCAAAAAAATCAACACTAGTGTGTACAATTAAGGATCACGTATCAAGAGCCTCAAGTCGTCAGACTCCAATTCTTGGAATCTTGTGTGAGCTTTTTGAAGGATTTTGAGAACATTAGACAATGCACCATCGCTTCGACTCTCGTCTATCTTCTTCTCTGCGTAAGATTCTTCCTTCGACTTCATCATCCCGTCTCTGAAATAAATGTACTTTGCGATCTCCAACAAGTTTGGCTTGTGTTGAGGCCAAACACTGCTCGTATTATCAACAATAACCACTCTTCGTTGATCAGCAGAGATGAGATCAAGTGTCTTCTTATTAGGAGGGGATTTCTCTTTGGTAATGACTCTATCACCAAAATATATTTTATCCGGATCAATTAAACTCAATACGTTCTTTGCGTAAACATAACTGCCCATCGTGTAAACATGCATGGTGAAAAGCTTGTTGGCTTCTTTCAGAAACTCGTGGAGGAAAGGTCGTAACTTTATCATCAGATACTCGGGGTTGCTTTTGTCAAACCTTCTTGAATCAGCTTCTTTGATCAGATACCGTTCTTTCTGAGAAAGCTTTGAAACAGAGATACTGTGGAGAAGCGTGTGATCCAAGTCAAGCACTAGGTGTAGTTTCTTCTTCGAGAGTTTGTTTCTTCCTTTGGTTTTCTCGAATAAACTAAAGAATTGCTTTATAAACGACATAGTTTCTCCACTAGCGGTAAGGAGAAGACGAAAACAACTAACCTAAGTGTCTGAATCAACAGAAAGACTTTGAAATAGAGAAAAACAATAAACCTAATTTGATCGGAAGCAACAACTGAACGAATGAATAATCGGTAATTGTGATTAATGAGTCTGATCGTTTGTATTTATAATGGAGGACTAGGTTAAATGCTCGAGAATTATATATATAAATTATTTTATGTCTTATTTTTTTTAGGTTCTTTTATATATTATAAAATAATAAATATATATATATATATATATATTGAATAATTGAAAATATGTAACTATTATAGATACAATTAATTTAGCAAGCACTTAAATATAATAATTATATTTGTTTATTTACAATCACATTATATAAGTAAATCTAATTAATAAATGATATTAACATATATATATATATATATATATATATATTCTACTTTCAATTTGGATATATAATAAATGAAGCTTCACATTTACATGGTTTTATGGTTTTATGTTTACAATATAAATTTAACAAAAAGAATAGAGGCTATACAATTTTTTTTTTCAAATTTTTCATATTCAAATCATCAATTGCTACATATATATTATAGCCGTATTTAGAAGTTCCATAAATTTTATTTAAGGAAATAATGATTATCATTAATAATAGTTTTATGTTTAGTTTAATAAAAACTATATTATATGTTTATATGGACCAACATTTTTTTCTAGTAAATTTGAGAAGTATTCTCATGATGACACGTGCCTACCAAAACATGTTGTAATGCTTCTCAATTAATATATACTAGATGACCGGCCCGCACCCTGTGCGGGTATATACATATTCAAATTATGGACTTAATAATACAAAGTTTTAGAAGTAATAGATTTTATATCATAAGACCACCGTCTTTGAGGTAAAGCATCAGACACAGAAAAATGCTGGTACACAATATTTTACATGGAGGAGATGAAACAAAGTAACTTCAGTATCAATAGGTAGTTATTGCGTGTATTTATAATTGCAACATCACAAAAAATTTTGTGTGTTGAAGGTTGAATTTTATTTTCCAAATCTGAAATTAATAGTGTGTAGTTTTATAAGTAACATATTTTCTATTATCACTAATTAGAATTGTATTGTATATGTGTTGTATTTCTTAATTTTAGGTGAAAAATATTATTATGCATAAATTTTTCGTAAAATGTATGTAGACAGATTAAAAGAACTGTTACACATCTCTCTCTCTCTCTCTCTCTCTCTCTCTCTCTCTCTCTCTCTCTCTCTCTCTCGTTATTCTGATTTTGGGACAATGGAATTTAATTAGGTCATTAAAGATTAGTATATTTGATACATCAATTAACTTTTTGTTTCAGTGATCTAATAAAAGTTATAAGACAATACTATGAAAAAGAAGATGTAATAAAACTGAAGAACTTATACGACAATAATGAGAAAATGCTTTTATTATTAATTTATAACATTACAATAACGCGAGCTCCACAAAAGTTAAACAAAAAATTCAATTAATAGAAATTCTAACAAAAGCCATAGCTTAACCAATATAAGAGTATACAATTAATAACACGTTCTAAACTTAAACAACGTCAATGAGCTTCCGTTCAAAAGCATGATTGATTAATCTACTCCAAGTCTGAAAGAACATGTAAAAAATTTATATTTACCCAAACACAATTTCTAATGACGTTTTCTTTTGATAAAAACATGAGTTTACTTGGTTTATCCATATTTTTTCTTTGGTTGCATAATATATCTTGTGATAGTTTTTTCCAAGTAGCATTCCAAACGTTTTCTGGATTTGTGATACTATGTGTTAGTAATAGGGCACAAAACAGCTTGTGTAGATCCTTTGTTAATGCCCAATAACATGCTTCTTTAATAACTTCAATATTTTCTTCATCATAGTTCTTGCAGATAACAGAAGAAGTTATTTTTTTTCATATCTCTGTTTTAGATTCTCAAAATAGACATTCATATTTTGTTAGTTTTTTTAAGTACATAGGCACATAAGTTATTCTTTTCTAAAAAACGTCATTAGATTAAGTTTTGAAAAAAATAAGCAATTTAAAATGTAAACCATAAGAAAATGTAAGATATATATAACAGTGTTGATATGGTTGCACGATAAGTTAGTATCAAATAATATATTCGTATTATTTATTACATTCTTTTTATTGCTATATAGATGTTCTGAATTTAATGCGTTAACATAAATCATTCTTAATTATTACCAATCAATCTTGTGAATTAAATAAGTAATATANTATAACAGTGTTGATATGGTTGCACGATAAGTTAGTATCAAATAATATATTCGTATTATTTATTACATTCTTTTTATTGCTATATAGATGTTCTGAATTTAATGCGTTAACATAAATCATTCTTAATTATTACCAATCAATCTTGTGAATTAAATAAGTAATATAAAATAAGAAGAACAGTTATGAATTAAAAATATCCCATAGAAACCTGCAAAAAAATTGTCAAATTTTGTTAGCAACTGTACAATATAAAATAATTTAATAGATTTCTAAATTTTATTAAGACAAAAATAATATTAAATTTGCATATCACTATTGAAACAAACTAATAAATGGTTTGTAGTTAACTACAACCGGTCTTTCGTCTGTGTTATTTATTTGTTAATAGAAAAAACAAACAAATGTAAGAATTTATAAATTTAAATTTTTTTATCGAATAAAAATAGACTAATGAGTTAGTATTGACATCCCTTAGGTGTCTCCTTTATATATACTCCACCTTCCTTTTTTCTTATGTTATTAAGGATATATTTTCATAACAAATGATGTTTAGAAATATAATTTCATAATAAATAATGAAACAGTTCAAAGAAAGATATTTAAGTTATATTGTCATTAAATGATTTACAATTAATATGTTATAAACTTGTGCAATTAAATCATATTCAAAATAAGGTAAGTTTTTTAAAACGAATTAACAAATTAGAAACATTAAGGTAAATGCATTAAAACAATGTAATAACTATTATTTGAAGTTGCACAAGTAATATGTGTTCAAAATAAGTTTATAAAGACGGTTAACAAATTAGAAACATTAAGGTAAATTGCATTAAAACAATGCAATAAATATAATTTGAAGTTGCACAAGTAGTATGTGTTCAAAATAAATTAGATTATTAATAAACTAAAAACATTAAGGTAAATTACATTTAAACTATAGATATTTAAATATTAAATGATATATAATAAGGAAATAATAAATATAAAAAGTAGTTGATATAAATTTTTGATTAATAAATATTACTATATATATTTAATTTTAATTAAAAAGATCATATAATTGCAAACCAAAAAAAATATATCAATTTTAATTAAAAAGATCATAAAACAAAATCACAATCAGCAAACCAAAGAAATATATATGTATATATAAGCTTATAATTCTAAACAATAATATAAATCTACTAATAAAAAAAAAGTATTGGCAGCACAAAAAGATGCTATTGAAATGATATAGCTGAGAGATGTTATCAAATAGAGAATTTTTTTTTACCAGATTGAGGAACAAAGATGTTATCGAAATGATATATCAAAGAGGTGTACAATCAAATCATATATAGCTTCAGTGGAGAAATCTTCATAAAAGGATATCTGCATATAAACCAAAAGAAAAATCAGCTCTCATGAAATATAAAAGCTTAATGTTCTAAAATAAGAAGAAAAAAAGTTTAGAACATTATTAACCTAAAAAGTTCAGAATACAAAGTTCAATGATTTCATTTCTTCTACTGTGAATGTCTTATTTATACTAAATTGATGGACGTTTCTCAATGATTTAGCTTGCATGATAAGCTAAGAAGTAACATATTCTCTAATAAATTCTCAGTAAATCTTATACTTTTAAAGTAATATTATTTTTGGAATATCTTGTTGATAAAGCTAAAGGAGAACATCTCGTGAATAGATTGCACCAGAATTTTGGTTTAAGTTTTAAATGCATGATTTTAGGAGAGAAAATATCTTATCAATTAATTTTGTTTTAAATACATGATTTTAAGAGTGAAAATATCTTGTCAATTAATTTTGTTTCTCTGACATCTAAAATATTTAATGATTATTTAATGAATTAAACAGAGAAAGGATCGCAAAATAATGTTCTTTGAATTGAGAAAACACAATATTTAAATGGATTTCCTTTTTAGTAGTTGTCGATGGTAAAAATAAATCAAAAATAAATTCGAAAAAATCAAACAATAGAATCGCTAGAATTCTTCTGAGAAGGGCTGTGTGAGTGCCACCTGGCAAATGTACTTCTCTTTTAATATATAGAGGGATGAGATATGAGATCAGAGCTTTGGAGTTGAGTAAGGAAAAAAAGGAAAATTTCAAAGTGATTTTTATTTTCTGTAATCACTACTTTGCCTTAGGATATGTAAAGAAAAAAAAAAAGGGTTGAATCGATTTAGAAGTCGTGTATTGGAATTTTAGTGAGAGTAATTCTTGAACCTCTAGATTCACCAACTAATAAGATTACGTTGTTTTATATTTAGTATTTTTTTAAAAAGAAAACAACATATTGTCGAGTTATATTATATTTGTACAATTTAAAGATAAAAATAAATACAAAAATAGGTGTAGTTGCAAAAAAAAAATTTTTAATATTATTATCAAAATACAAAACCTTAAACGTTAAATCATAAACCATAAAACCCTTTTATACCGACAACAAAATATTAAACCCTAAAACCTAAACTTTAAATCCTTGGACAAACTCTAAACCCTTGGATTAATCATAAATCCTAGGGTTTAAGATTAATCCAAGGGTTGAGGATTTACCGAAGATTTTAGAATTTAGGATTTATGGTTTAAGGTTTTGCTGACGGTATTAAAAATATTTTTTTAAAGTTTTTTCTTCACAACTAATATCATCTTTTATTTTTATTTTATTTTTTTATTTTTGAAAACATAATATAATTCAATAATAGTTTGTTTCTTTTTATAAA